CTTTTACAATAAAGAATAAAATGAATAATACTTTAAGCGCGTATCACATATACCGCATCACATATTTCCAGCACAGCACAGGGCCACAGCCTGAGATCCTCCTGGACCTTCTACCAGGCCTTGCAAACAATTCCCAGGACTTTTCTCCAAATGACTATTAATCAGGCATTAAAAAAAATAAATTAGGAGTATATTAACTCATTTACTTTACACGCATGTGTAAGATTAAGATTTGCAGAGATCAATTTACCTGTGAATTGTATTTGTCAGTGAAAACATACATGAATATGGTTTTGTTGGCTAGTTGTTGTCAATAAACTCTCTTAACTCTGTGTTTTGCCCCAGTGTTGCCGATCCTCTCTTGCTCCACCCAGATTTTCTTGACCTCTTTCTAGATCATACCTGTCTTGTTTGAAATTAAAGAAGCCATTTTTCAATGTTAAAGTGTGCAATGACTTTTTCCCCCAAAGCTGGCATGATAAGATATATAAAGGGTTTGATGTGAGGTGAAGAGATCCAGGTTAAATATTTGCTCAGTCATAAAGTTCATGGGGTGGTCATGGTGCATTTTTACACAGATAGCAATCATAGTTTATTTTGGCTTGTTTTGGCTTAACATGAGTGTCAACTCAGCCAACTATCTTTTATTCAACAAATCACGATTCACTAAAACATATCTTGACATGTTAGGTGAACCAAGTTGCTGTTTCTCATCCTGACTTACATGATTGTTGCAAGGCCACAGAAAGTTGAAGAGAGAATCAACAAATGTCTCCATGAGCTCCCTAGACAGAGTGGGAAATCAACCTTTTTTCATCCCTCATTTGACCTGACTTTTTATTAGTATGTCTGCATTTCAAAATACAAATGAAACAGATTAACATATTTAGGGCAATGGGAAGGCCTGGGCGCAGACAAAATATGATGGTTTCCTTCAAGTTCTAGAGTGAGTTCTGAAGATGGTGGAGTAATCTATATACTACTAAAACTCTCCTGCCTGTAACCTTCAACTGGTGAAATGGTGTATCAAAGGACAACAGTTTTTGAACCAAGGTACCTCAGATGGGCTACCTTACAATTACAATTTGGGAAATTTGTGGTCATTTCAACAATGCTGTGCTGCCACGCCACTGCCGTCAGCCCAGGTCACATGATCGTCACAGGCATATCCCCGACCTGTTTCCTGCCTCCCTCTGTCCCCTGCACCCAACCGGCTGGCGGTGAGGCCTGACGGGCAAGCACCCATTGGCTGCTTTGGAATCGAGGCATAAATTTGAAATCTCTTAATGGTGGTTGGTGTTGAGGGAATGACTTGGGTGCCTGCTGGCGAGGTAGGGCTGGCTTGGGGGCTGGCAGTCGATGGGTGAGCCCTCTTCCTCCCGCGAGGCAGGGGGCCCTTGGGGGACACGCCAGAATGGAGAGTGGGGCCACAGTTTTCTCATGGTCTGTGGATCCCTTTGTTCCATCTCCCCCCAGCAAAGGGGCAGGCAGTTCTGCAGGTCAATTGAGGAGGAGGGGGAGGCTTCACTGGGGCTCTCCTGATGGT